TTCAAAGGAATCGTTTGATGATAGTGGAAATCCTTCATGGTTGCTAGCAATTATATCTGATGCCCGACCCTATCACAAATGCCCCATTTGTCGCCAATACCATCATTGCTAATGATCTTGCTTCAGAATAACAGATTCGTCCATTCCTGAGGAATAAATATAAAAATGACAACACTAGTCAAGACCGTGTCTAAGACTCAAGCCTTCTGCAGCTTATTCAGATTAGCATTTACCAATTCCGAAGTCTTTTCAAGGGCGTACCAAATTGACCTGTGCAGTTCCATTGATATCTTCCCCCACGTATCCTGCGAGGTAGAATCTCCAATTGCCCATACCTTGAGCCCACAAGAGAGGAAGGCTATTTCAGAATGCTCGGTCTGAAGTTCAGACCAGTGGCAAGTCCAGCGGACTATGCTGTTGGTGACGACTGCTGATATGACGTTTACCGTTCTATCAAAGTCTCGCCGAGCAGTCTCCTCATCGTTGGCGCGTACACAGAGCTCTCCGAGGTGGCTGACCATTACTGCACCATTGTACTCGTTCTGGGATGGTATTGATTATTGGAGAGGTGAGAAGTGAGAAGTGAGAAGTGGAAGAGATACATTCAAATAAGGAATGACCTTGGATCCGAGACAAATCTGAATATTTATGTAGGTAGGTACCTGGGTATTTCCAAGGTTCGCAACCCAAAAAAAGGAATTAAGAAATTAAGAAAATGCAAGTTCCAAGGAGACTGAAGGAAGAGCCGATTCGACTCCAAAGCGAGTGACGTCGTCTCGCAAATCGTCGAAGCTGTGGGGAGGATGGCATTAATTTACACACTGTACACAGTGTTGCTAACGGAGATCTGCAGCCAACGCTAGATTTTCTTAAAGAACAAAAGGCGATACAGCCGCTAAAGTTGCCCATTTGCCTATTCTGCCCCGGATCATCCGATGGCTCGAGAACACAAAGATTACGTTCAATTTCCCAGCGATGGGCCGGTGGAGGGGAGGAAGCACATGCACCAGTGCCTCGATGGACGGCTGAAAAACGGTCTGAAGTCCGGTTCAGTTGTTATTTCTCCAGATTGAGGGTGGCAGGCTGGACGGCTTGAATCTAGCATTAGAGAAGTTGATTGCCGGTGTCAGTGGGGCTAAGATTGCTTCATCGATTTAATATATAGCTTGTCTATGGCTGATATCTCCAATACGAGTAGGTAGGGGGCAGAGAGTCTCAATAAAGATGATATATAAATAGCCGTTCCCAGAGGCGTCACCAATAAATGGCCTATCACTCCCTTGGTTTTTACATGGAATATACTCCAGAACCACTATATACATGCAAATTCAATACTTATCTAGCACTATCACTGCAAAAACCAAGAAGGGACTTCAGGCCCCCACACAGCGAGAGACTCATCGCCCGCCGGTCCATACCCGACGGGTGTCTGATCATTCACCAAATCCCCATCCGCATAGTGCTCAATCATATTTCCCGTCGTATCCCACCAGTAGTCGAAGATCTGCGATCCGAGAATATGCCGCCCATCACCCCACACTGACTTGTACCCTTTCTTAGCAAGCCATTGGTGGCCGAGCTGCTGTGTGTCAAGGTCATGGACTTCGAATGAGCAGTGGTGTACGTGGCTTGTCAGATTGGAGCTCATGAAGAAGGTATGGTGGTCAACATGCTTTTCTCCCTGGTCTATGTGAGCAAATAGAGCCACATTTTTCTTGGTTCCTTCTCTTTCGATGTAGAGGAAGTCTGTTGGGACGATATTGAAGTTCTTGGTATAAAATTCTACGAGCGTTTCGAAGTTTGTGGTGCAAACACCGTAGTGACCAAGCTGTTCGGAGTTAGTTTTGCTCTTCGAATGGTGAATATATCAGTGGGGGCCGTATATGGACTGACTTTGTGGACTGCAGCAGGCCCTGGCTGAAACCGCTGAAACCGGCGAACTCGTGGCTTGTCAGTCTCATGGTTGATCTCGAGAATCTTTGGATATGGCCCAGGGGTGGCTGGAGTCTGTCCAAATAATAAATTCATCGGAAAGCCTTCCGGGTCTTTCAGTGTCACCATATAGCCTCCGCCGGGGGCACCTGTGAGCTCTTCGATCTTTCCGGCTGTCGGTAGTACAGTTGCCCTAGAAAGTTATTACGGGATATCACGTAAAAGATATATTTGTAGAATTACCTCTCAAGATCCTGGTGAGACTCAACTTCAAATGTGCCACCAAGGAACTTCTTCGGCCCCTTCCTGGCGTAGTAGACGTAGGGGTCTACTCCATAGCCTTGATACCAAACTTCCTCGTCGGTTTGCTTTGCGATTGCCATGCCGAAATCTAAGCATATATTAGCTAGATATCCTATAAGAGCACTGAAAAGCAAATCCCAAACACGTACCCTGAAGAAAAACAGTAATTTCATCCAGTTCAGGGTGCTGGTATCGCATATGCGCCAGTTTAACGAGACGAATTTGAGAGTCTGTCTTAATTCCACATCTTTCACGCCATGCCACTATACTCTCCGACTCCGGGCCGATGGCAAGGATGTCTTCGATAGAGGCACCGCGGTTTGCTTGGATTGCCTAGAGGGCGGTTGATCAGTGATGTACTCATTGACCTACAGAACATACCTACCATGTTGATGATTTTGATATCACCCTACTCGTGATAGTGAAACACCATCGGAATGGAAGCTCAATACTAGATACTACTTTACTTCCAAGGTTTTATTCAGTGTTATTGGACGTCACACAAAGCCCTCTCTCCCCACAGTCCCGCACAGCCCCACATCCCACGTCCCACACTTCTCGGCGGGACAGTCCCCTCGCACGTGAGCCTCGTATTCGGATTTAGAACGGGGGTATCCATGGGTGTATGTCTTACTACGCGAGGTATATGCTAGTAGCGATAGCATGAACGGCCCTGAGGTGAGGGACCAGCCACATGTCACAGGAGAAGGATAATAAACTACCTCGGCAAAGCTGTCTCGCACAGCACACGCCGCACTGGCGCGTGGCGCACCGAATATAGCAGGCCGTCCGTCATAAGCAAGCTACCCACCCATGTCAAAACATCGATTCCTTCCATCTCGGCACGCGGTTCTTGCTTCACAATACAGTCACCGTCATGCCTCTCTTCTGTGCCTTGCTATGCCTTACCGATAAGGTGGTTTCGAAGTTTTCGAGCCAGTCTTTACCTCCTCCGTTGCTTGCGTTGTTCCTAGCCACCCGCATGTATATTCTCGCGCCAAGTACATGCTTATCTGCAATATGGTCATAGATGTGGGTGGGTCAATTGATTGATTTGATTGTAATTGTAATTGAAAAAAAAAAAATGGGACGAGCCGGGATCGAACCAGCGACCTTGCGAACTTCAGTCGCACGCTCTCCCAACTGAGCTATCGTCCCATTTGGAATGATGTCATGGTCGACATGATAGATTCATATACTAAATACGAGTTCCGTTTGTGGCTGACGAAGGTTTGGAATTCCTTAAAAGAGGTGAAACGTGAAGCTAGGGTTAGAGTGCAAAGAAAGCCAATACCTAATTAATGCATCTAATGGGACCTCAACTATGATTTTCTTATATAATTATCCCAAGTCCTCCTGAGCATCTAAAACCTTATGCCCTTGTGCCCTGTTTACTGGGGTTTCCAAGCTCGCCGGGTACATTCAACTCTCTTGATGGCCCTTTGGATTCTGCTATACGTTCGTATCATAGTGCGCATATGTTGATTATTTGTGTCTGTCTGTGCTGTTTGTTACGCTAATGAATATTTGAATCATCACGATATTAATTGTCCCCGTCCATATCTAGGATATACTAACCAAACGCAATGTTCAAACATATATATACATCTGTATATGTACCTTCAGAATCGTGCCTCCACCACACATAGATGTAGATAACGCACACGAACCATTAAGCACCGAGTTCCAAATGATAGCGGCTGCAGGCCACGTGCAATGGTAATTGCATTGACTACAGATAGTAAGAAACCAGGATAAGAAGTGATGAGAATAGATACGTAAGAACGTTAAAAATCATACAAGGTCCATAGCCCCAATTTAATATTTTTACTGGAAAATAACATTATAGCTTTCCCCCAGTTTAGTTCCAAGGTCCATTATAAATGGTATGTAGTAAGACATAAGATCCTGGCAGATCGCCGCAATGGCTACAATACAGATCCAGTCAGGAAGGAGTTCAATGTTGCTCTCAAAGACCACCTAGACTATGGCTCACATGTTCCAATACTCTTGGGCTATGTGTCTTATAGGTACCCATGCACTTCGAGACCTTACATGGTTAACCAATGCATTCATAGGCGCTGTTGTGGTTCAGAGATCAAGACGGTGACTTCTGCGATATAGCGGCTGACTCATTATTCCAATTGGGACGATAGCTCAGTTGGGAGAGCGTGCGACTGAAGTTCGCAAGGTCGCTGGTTCGATCCCGGCTCGTCCCATATTTTTTGTTGCACACTTCCCCTGCGAATTATGTAGCAAATAACCAGGCGTTAGCACAGTTTTGGTCAGCGGCTGGGCTTTGTTTTCCCCTAATTTCATTCTGAATAAAGTGGTTCGTTCCATTGAGAGAGATAGATCTATATAAATGAAGTTTAAATTTCCGCACGTGAAACTTGGAAGTTGGAGAAAGAAGAGCTATAGATGGTATAGTACAGATTAGTAAAGAGAAATTGAAACGTGAAGAAATACGTATATATCTCAAACGGAAACAAAAGCGATGTAAAGATGGAGTAGGTAAGGAGCGAGGCTAAGCTAACTATATGGTTCAGCTCAGTAGGTGAATTTTAATATTAATAGGATAGGTCTGGTAGAAATCCAGCTATTATAGCATTCTTAACATTTTAAAAGCATAGTTGCACGGAAAAGATATTTGAAAATTTTGTTTTAAAAATAGGGTTGGCTGTGTAGAAAAAAGCGTCGTACATTGTCTGTCGGAATGCGTTCTAGGCTCGTGTTATCTTGGACCCTTTCAATCTTCGTCCCATCTGGGACGATAGCTCAGTTGGGAGAGCGTGCGACTGAAGTTCGCAAGGTCGCTGGTTCGATCCCGGCTCGTCCCATTGTTTTTATGCTCTATCTAATCCAGCTCCAATCAATCCATGGATCATTCCAAGGTTGGGTGGGATAGATCAAGTGGGGCGGGGCGATATGGGAGGAGCGTGCGATTGAAGTTGGTTGACCTCAATCACTTCTTCCCGAGTCGCTGCGCGGCTCGCCCCTCCTTCGTATTTTCTTTTTTTTGGTCTCCAGTGTCTTCCAAGTTAGCGTCTTACGTCAATATAGCCGGGGGTACGGTTATTGATGATTGTTTTCTTACCCCACAGTTGTAATACATAGAGTTTGGTCCGAGAGGGCTTAAGTTGGTGATGTACGCCCAGTATGTAACCAGTGCCGTAAAGGATATTCTTTTCTTATCACGGTCGGTAAGAGACTGCTTTTGCCGCCGTTAGCTCTTTAAGACAACAAGGACGACGGTGAAGCTCGCAAGATCATGAATCAAGGCCATGCATGGTATGTGGTTGTCCCAATATAATAGTTGGGTAGAAGAAGGGGAGTTGGGGGGAGATGATAATTCGATAGCAAGTCTAGTATCTAACAGCCCGATAAGACTGCATCAACTAGCCCTGGAGCTAGCTCTATGGACGTAACTCTAGAAGACACCCCTGGAAGGAGCAAATCTACTAGCAGCTCTGTCGAAGGAAGAAGTAAAGATGGTATTTTCGGCAGGAGCTTCCGGACAGGCTGGCTTGGTATATTCATTTCATCTACCTACGTGTGTGCTCCAGGCCCGTTTCCAGCTCAAGTCGAAAACATGCATCATCTAAAAATCAAGCTAGTATTCGGGTTTGACAGGGGTGTGTGCCAATTTATTTTGCCCTCTACCGGTTGACTAGGGGTTAATTTTACCAGGAGAAACCTGTTAGTATCGGTCAAAAGGCGACGGCAGATAATTCCAAAGCGACACGCCATGGAATCCAACCGTGTACCGTGCAGCCACAATATGCACCTACTGAGTTTCCGGTTCGAGAAGTGGCGTAGAACTGGCGTGGCGCTTAGTGTATGTGGGAAACCAACAAAGAAATATATTCAAGCTCTTTCTTGATTGGGTTCCCCGAAAAAGCAAACATTCAAATAGATGTTAACCGTCCAGTGCTACGAGTCCTACCATATCCTTGCTAGCCGGCTACCCCCCTATATCGCTCTCCGTGGCCTCCTTTTCCTTTTAGAAGACTCTCATCATAGTTTTAAAAGTCTTTCTTGCGACACATATACCAACCCCAAAGCAACCGTCATGGCGCCACCTCTGTTAAACAAGATATGCCTCATCACCGGTAGAGGCGGCAGTATGGGACGTGGAGCAGCCCTCAAGTTTGCCCAGGAAGGCGCTAAAATAGTCGGGTGTGATATTAACCCCGTGACCGAATCAGCAACCACTGAAGCCTTACGAGAGCTAGGTGGTGAAATGATATCCATATCCCCATGCGATCTCACAAAACGTGAAAATTGCGAGCAACTTGTCAACCTCGCCATCAAAACCTATGGACGCATCGATGCCTTGTACAATAATGCAGGAATGGCCCACATGAGCTGGCTCGATGACTGCAAGGATGACAACTGGTACAAAGCAATTGACCAGGAGTTAAGCCTCGTCTACCTGCTGACCCAGGTCGCATGGCCACATCCGAAGGAGTCCGGTGCATCCGTCATCAACGTTGGTTCTGCCAATGGCTGGATTGCAATTCGCCCAGTGCCTGATATTGCCCACACAGCTGCGAAAGGTGGTGTTATTGCCATGACACGCCAGTTGGCCATGGAGGGGCGTGCACATGGTATCCGAGCCAATTCAATCTCACTAGGTCTTATCCAACCTCTGCGAACTGCACGTTTGCTTGAGGATCCGGAGTTGGCCTCAGATGTGATGCAGAAGATCATGATTGGCCGCATCGGTCAGCTAGAGGAGATTGCGGCTATGGCTAGCTTTCTTGCTTCAGATGAGAGCTCCTATATCACTGCTGTAGATATTCGAGTTGATGGTGGTATGACAGCCTTGTAATGGAGTTACGTGCATATATGTTTTGGTAAATGGTGATTGAAATCGATGCATATCATATAGTGTCTGTCATTGTGTTGGCCATATCGGGTCTTTCTTAAGAGAGTTGGCTTGGAGGGCTGCTCCGCTGTCCGCTGCAGCATCCCTACTGGGAAAGGTGCTTGGAATACATCCCATCTGTTGTTATGCTGTGTATATGTGATTCTTGTTTTTAGTCTCGCAAGTTGTCAACGTGTAGTCGGTTAACCGAGAGCCGCGATCTCACCCAGAAACCTTATCACCGGCTTCGGCGTTGTGGAGACCTCACCTGGCCAGGTGGGCCCGCTCGCGGACCCGTGGCCGGGGTGGAACTCCCGGCCCGCAGTGCCTCTGATTTGTAATCCAACTACCTGGCCCCGGGGCCCGGTGCCCCGGGGAGTGACAGACCTACTCATTTAACCACCTCATCGTACGCTTACGAAAGGGATATGTATGCATATCGCAGAAAATAATTTCTTGTATTAAGGATAGGCCTGAATTTTCATCAAAGACGACAGTGATTTATCTACAACCGTTCCATTTCGATGACTGGACACAGTGAGCTCAATTCAGGTAGGCCAGTGCTTCAAGGGCGCGAGCATGACTCCACATCTTATGATTAAACTTGTCTTTGTAGGCAATCAGTTCCTTTTTATTCCATCAAAAAGCTCAAATGACCGCACAGCGAAGCGCCTAGCTCGATCGCATGCTGTAGCGCACGGCCTTGGGAACAAAAGAAGGCTTCAGCAAAGTTCTGGCCATAATTTCCATGTTGTATGCCCAGCAAACAATCGGAGGCGACCCACGAGAAAAAGAAAACAAGGAGAAACTATTACCACACCACCAGCCTCCCTCGCTACAGGTTCCTCCGATCCATTCCAAATGCTGGCTGCAGAGTCGCCGACATTACGGGCATTGCTAAACAGGCGTAAGATTCAGGAAATCATCTGATGTCTGACAACTTCTCATTGGATATAGAAAAGTTTCCACAAGCCACTGAGTTGGTCTTCAGTGTTGCTGACGAACTCGTGCTTCAAAATTTCCGCTCCATCCTTCGAAACGGACTAGACGATAACGCTCTTCTGAGCGCAATCATGCTCACATTTTCATTTACGATCACAGCAAGTATGACCAGCAGGGAGTGCCTAGAATACCAAAATGAGGCTCTAAGCTCCATCCGTCAACGAATGGATTCCCCGGATAGGGCTGCTACAGAGTCTACAATAGGAGCAATCCTACTACTCGCCGGTATAGAGGTCTGTGCAAGCTCTCCTTCAATCTTGCTTATTTGGTAGAGCTATTGGGACCAAAAGCTAAGCTCTTATAATTAAGGTCCGTCTTGGAATGTCGCGTCAAGTCCAGCTCCACATGGGGGCAATACAACAAATTCTTGATGTATGCCAAAGAAAGGGCGTCTATTTGAGTGACGATATCAAACGTGCGATCTTCTGGTGAGTAATCTAGAGCATTCCCTGACAGCTAAGCCTTACACTGGCCGATAGGTCAGACTTAAACGGTTCGGTCATGACGGGCTCAAACCGAGTTGTTGACCATACAACCTTTTCCGAGCTCCAGTGGAGGAGAGATACTTCCAATCCGGACTTCTTTATTCTTCCACCTGGATTTCAAAGTCACTCCAATTTACTGGGCCAGGCTTTCGTTGAAATCCTCAAGGACATATTTGCATTGCAATGTATCCGAGATTCAGCCATCCTCGGCAAAGAGGACGCAATGCCGATGGCACAAATTGATAACCACCAGGCGTCTATCCAGTCGAGGCTAGTGAGCTTGCCAATTTGCTCACCTATCTTGCAATGTTGTCATCAAGCGGCATATCTATGTTCGACTATGCTGCGCTGCAAAATGTGGCGGACTTCAACCATCCCTGTAAGTAAACAATATTGATTGCGTTTGTCTCTCAGCCTTTCGTCAGGTTGTGCTTACTTTACATGCCACCAGTCCCACCTTTCCTTACAACTACTCTGCAACATACAAGCAGCGAGCGATAGTCTAGTGTGGGATAATTCGCCTGGTCTATTGGCTTGGCTCTTGTACATCGGGGGTGCTTTCGCCCCCGTAGGGACTATACGACAAGGCTACGTGCGACTGTTGCGTTTGAACCACAACAGATTCAAATCGCTGTATACATCATGGCCAGGACTTCTTGTAGTTCTTAAACAGTTCATATGGTCTGACAAAGCATTTTTGTCCCAGGTTAAGGTCTTCTGGGAAGAAAAATTCCCTCTAGACTAGCTCTATGAATAAGTTATTCAATTGCTCCATTGACCAAATGCCGGGCAGAGCAGTCGGAGTGTTGAAACATTGATTTCAAATCATGTATAGTTAATCGGACTTCTGCCAACCTTCTTCTATTTGTCATTGGCTAACTATGCTCAGGTGGGCCGATTACCTCCAGCCCTGGAGGGTTGAGAGTTCGAAACTCTCCGATTGTGCCCCACTAGCCTCATTTTCCAGATGACGGATTGGTCCGATATTGACGGCTCTAACCGCAAATGGTCAAGTTCGCTTGCCTTTCCCTAATAGGAAGTATCTTTCTTCCTTTTTGAGAAGTATCTCTATACCTACTTGTTTATAGCTTCTATTGCATTCATCCGACAACTGCAGAATATTTACTTGGAAATAGAGTACAAATACCTGGTTTTCCTAGGGATTCAGCTACAGGTCAAAACCTTCTAACTCTCCCACTGAGGAACTTCCATTCAAAGATTCTTAACAATGCCTCAACCGCGACTTTTTAAGCCCCTTAAGATCGGTGACATTGAAGTGAAACATCGCATCGGAATGGCACCACTCACTCGCTTTCGAGCAACCGAAGACCGAGTGCCAACACTCCTCATGAAAAAATACTACAGCCAACGCGCCGCAGTGCCAGGTACCTTGATCATCACCGAGGGGACCTTCATATCAGCAACCTGCGGTGGATTCCCGCACGCACCAGGGATTTGGCGTGAGGACCAAGTTGCTGCGTGGAGAATTGTCACCGATGAAATTCATCGCAAGGGATGTCCCGTATTCTGTCAACTATTCGCCATGGGACGTGCTGCGGATTTCGACGTAGCCCGGAAAGAAGGGTTCGATATCGTAGCTCCCAGTGCTATTCCCATGGAAGAAGGCGGCGTCGTCCCCCGGGCCATGACTACCGACGAGGTCAAACAGACAATCCGGGACTTTGCCAACGCTTCGAAGAACGCTATTCGGGCTGGCTTTGACGGAGTCGAGATCCATGGCGCGAATGGATATTTGCTCGATCAATTCATCCAAGACGTTAGCAACAGGCGTGACGATGAGTATGGCGGGAACGTGGAGAATAGATCTCGTCTTCTCCACGACGTGATCAAATCTGTTGTTGATGCCATCGGCCCTGAACGGGTCGGGCTTCGACTGAGCCCATGGAGTACATTCCAGGGTATGAGAATGCAGGATCCGATTCCGCAGTTCACGGATGTGATCAGTAAAGCCAATCAGGCGGACATCGCTTATCTTCACCTCGTCGAGTCGCGAATTTCCGGCTCCCAGGACTACGACGGCCATGACACGCTGGATTTTGCATATCACCTATGGAACGGACCCTTTCTTATTGCTGGCGGGTATACATCGCATGAGGCCCGCAAGTTGGTGGATGACAAGTATCCGGACAAGGACATCATGGTCATCTTTGGCCGGCACTTCATTTCAAATCCGGATCTCATATTTAGGATCAAGAAGGGTCTGGAGCTCAATGCCTACAAGAGAGATAGTTTCTATGTTTTCGAGTCAGCGGTTGGGTATTCGGATTACCCATTCAGCGAAGAGTATCTAGCAAGCGGGACAAACGTTTAGTATTTGGGCAAAGTAGCTAGTTAGAGTACCTATAGGCAATCCCGTCAACCCCAACGGTCTTCACACCATGGATTAGACGCCAAAGGTCTTCTCCATTTAGCCGTGAAATTATAAAATAACTCACCTTCTTTAGCCAACGTCATTTTCAATCGATACAAGTAGGCCTGTCGGGTCATATAGCCTCGCAGATCGTTCATAGATGGATCCCCTTCCTCGCTGCGCTATGTTTCCATTTGTTTCTTAGGTCTTTTAGCCCCCCATATCTGTCGATATTTTGAGAAGACACAGGAATTTTACCACTAGACGTAACAAAAGCCAAAGTACTTGTTTAGGGCTTGGAGGTAGCCATATTCTAGGCTGCCAGATATCCCAAAATAGATATTCGGAAAATAGTTATACCGGCATATTCCCCTGTCAGCACATGTTTCTTGATGTTGTACGAAGTACGTTGTCCAGAGATGTCGCACCCTACCAAGTTCATGAGACTTGCAAGTTAGTGAAATCTCTTTCCTTATATCGGTGGCGCTAACCGGAGTCCAGGTCCCAATGAACGCCGTACAATTAGTCGCGAAGATGTTGGCTACTACAACGCGCTCGTCGTAGCAGCAGTTTATGAAATTGCGAATGAAAATATAGACGTTCATTCCGCCCAATCATATCTTGCACCTCTGAGACACTGCATTGGGAAGTACCCATACCTAAGTGTGGTCGTCAAGGACAAGCATACCGAGAATCCAGCATACGAAGCGGTTTGTAGTATGGATCTCCACGATCATGTGTCTATAATTTACGAAGACAAAGCCAGTAACAATGGCGAGACGGCAACAATTCAGAAGATCCTGCCAGCCATACTTGACCGGCCATGGCCTGCTGATATTCCACCTTGGCGAATTGTGGTCCTCCCTTTGGCGTCACCGCAAGACTCCACAGTGACGCGATGCTTTATCGCCTTTGCGTTCTCCCATGCTCTCGGGGATGGAATGGTTGGAGTTGCATTCCATCGTACCTTTCTAGATGCGTGGCGCCAGACTACTGGCGTGGAGGAGAAAGCCTCTTTCTTAGTGACTCCGCCAAGTCAAACGCTTCCGGCACCCTTCGACACACCCGAAAGGCTTCCCATATCTTGGAAATATCTCCTCGAGCCATTGATAGCAGTTTACTTGCCAAACTTTGTGGCCAAGATTCTTGGGCTCCGCGCATCTGCCAGCACGCTAGATGCCGGTACTTGGATTGGGCCACCCATGTTCTTCGATCCAGCGGCCGCCCTCCAGAGCAGAGTCAGGCTTCTCGAGATTGAAGCTCCGCTGGTTCAAAAGGCCTTACAAACTTCAAGAAGCCATGACACCAAGCTCACGGCAACGGTGCATCAGATGATTGTTCGGGCGCTAAGCAGGGCCATTCCTAACCCTGACGTAACCAATTTTGTCTCGGGAACACCTGTTGATATGCGAGCGTCTATCGGGACGCCTGGTCTCACATGGGGTCTTTTCGTATCTGGCCATTACGAGGTACATCCACGGGTACCCAATGTGACTGAGCCTGCTTTGCCCGAGGAGATGTGGACAGCCGCGAGTTCGATGACGAAAAATCTTGCTGCATGCGGTGCGAGGCTACAGGACCAAGCAATCGGCCTGCTGAGATATGTTCCCAGCATCAGGAAGTGGACGTTGGGTAAAATTGGTCAGCAGCGGGACTCCTCGTATGAACTGAGCAATTTGCTTGCTTTCGATAACATGGGTGGCGGTGCAGACCAAAGGTGCAAGGCTGTGAAGATGGTGTTCTCGCAGCCTGGCAATGTTACTAGTGCGCCACTTGTTTTCAACATCATCAGTGTCAAAGGGGGTAGCTTGATGTGCACGGTGAGTTGGCAAGCTGGAGCCTTAGATGTGCCAGTAGAGGAGGAAATGACACTGGTTGATCGTATATGTACGTCAATTCAAGCGGACTTTGAAGCCTTGAGGGATTGATGCCACATTTGTTTCAACGGCAAACCCTCGGATCTTTTGTTCATATTCCCAGACTCGTGCAGGATAAAAAATTTGTTGTGACCTCTGCCTTGGCGGATTGGAACCCTGCCTTTCTCTGTCCAGCTTAGCTCAATCCATGATTTTCTTTCCCTTTCTCCCTTCTCTAGAGGTTTTAAGCCCTTTGTTTTTATCGACTCCATCTGTTAAGAATGCTTACATTGAAACGAAGCAGCGGTAGCAGCGCACCGGGTACGGAGTGAAGGGACACCGCCGTCGCATCGACAGTATCACGTTACGCGCACAGCCGCGCAAAGTTCATTCTCGTTTGGTGCGTCTCTCACAATTTCGACTTCAACGTGACACCGAGTACAATTCAATATGCCACTACGCGCACATTTCAACCGAGAACCTGTCCGCTTACTGTTGTATCTCACACTTTTGAACCCCCTATCGTCATACGAAGACTGATCATCTCACGCACACGCGCATACGAACGCGCGTAGTTGTCCACAAAGGACAGCGTTTAGCAATGTCCCTACCAACCGACTTGCATGACTGTCTACCGCGTTGACACAACCAGTACGAGACACCGGCAGCGTTTAGCGCTAAAAAGCCATCCCCTTGGTCACACAACGTGTTAATGAAGCCCGATCGGCGACTTCCAAAGTAATGTGCACAAGCGGCAAGGAAGTCTCACAAAACAATTTTAACAAACCTTTCATACGCGACTTCAGAGCCACCCGTTACAGGAACGAGTTGAGAAGAACATTGAAGAGGGGTATGTACGTGGTGGCCAGTGCCGCACGGGCCAGCTCACCGAGAGCCGAGCTAGCAAACACCGACATCGATATATGTGACGTACTTCTCGCACTGAGGTGAGGACTGTGAAATAGATTGTCTGCCCGATCCCGACCTTCAATATAATGGCCACAGGGCGACCATATGACCCTGCCCTCGCACGACCGGACCCTCCCGCTCCCCCTCAGAACCATCTCGTCTCAAAAAATGCAACGAACTCATTAGAAGATCTCTTGCGCAATGCGGAGGATGACAATGAATCTCAACATACCCAAGATGCGACCTCACGACCACCCGCTCCAACAGATCCACATGATCTCCCGCTACCTGCTTCCAGACCGCCATCACCGCAAAGACCACAAGGAGATCGAATGGTCGATCCAGGACAGCTTGGTCCTCGTATAACAGAGCAAGCGAGTCCACCATTATACGGAGAAATCCTTAAGAATGCTGGAAATGTACTAGAACATATCAAAAATGGAAGTGTCGGTAAAGATTCTCGTCACGGGAGGATTTCAATCACATACTACGACTATTTCGACAACCTCATATCCGATCCAACACATATCGATGATTCGGCGAACGTCGCAGCCTTGTATCATGTTTCAGAAGATGTGCAGCAAAGGCTAATCTTTGTGGAAGATCTTTCTAAACCCACGATAGACAAACTGGGTGAAACCTTCAGCATCAATCCAGAGTTCTTCGAAGAACATTTACTGAATTCTGGCTATGCCGGCGGAAAATACGATAGTCCACCGGCTCGAAACTGGAGCACAGCGTCATTTAAGAAATCATACGTGTCATTCAGATGGATTCGACCAGTTTATCGACTTCCAACGTACTTCTCAAGCAGCGACCTTGACGATCTCCTTGACGGTAGCACAACCCATTTCACACGGGGGAAGTCCGTTACAACGGAAATCCTCACAAATATATTCCGGCTAGAGTGGGGCTTGTGGACAGACCCCACAAAGACAGTGAGAATGAAAAGGGTGTGCGGGTTAGAGGAGAGAGTATCAATTTGGAGAAAGAAGCTTATTGGTCAAAACACTGAGATTGGTAAGTGATATATATACATGCAGTAGAAGCATGACACGAGATACTGACGGGCCATGTAGTAATTGTACTTCTTGACCCTTTGCCGGAGATATCTGAGATGCATCAATACTGGGCACCAATTGGCTTTCAGGGACAGAATGGCGAGACTGACGATGATGACGATGTATCCTACCACTCCTCCTTGATTGAAGAGGAACCACAACGTGTCAGGGACCAGCGTTCCCTTGCTAAGTCGTTGGACTGGCTCATTGGCAGAGAAAGGCGAAAAAGCGACAAACATGAGAAGAACCGTGAAGTACTAAATACAGTTATCATTGAACAGATAGCTTCTCGCCAAGCAGTCTCAGCTGACCTAGACCGCGTATTTTGGACATCGCAGTCGGTCACAGATTTGGAGGGAAGACTCAAAGAGACCAAGTCAACCAAATCAGAGATCTGTGACGCTCTCAGAATGAACCGGGGACCACTTAGTCTGAGCAAGCCGTTGTTCCAACTCATCAATCAAGATACCATGACGCTCCTCAACCAGCTGCGACAGGTTCTTGACGAAATAGACATCGAGATGTTAGATGACGCGAAGATGGAGGATAGATTGGGCCTATGGCGACAGATCATCAACCGTGCTCAAAGAGAGCTTCCAGAGCTGAGATCTTCTTTGGAGCCTTTTATTGAGTTTCTCATTGGACTCCATCCTCTAAGCTCTTCCATGGAGCTTGCAGCCATGAGATTCGAACTGACGCAAGATATCCACGAAGTTTGGAAGAATATCGATCACATTATTGATCGACTTCAAAGAACGTCGGGGTCTTTAACTTCCAATATGGGTCTGCTAGACAGTCGACGCTCGATTGACGAGGCTCATGCTGTGGCAAGACTCACCGAACTCGCGTTCATCTTTGTCCCGTTGTCTTTCGCAGCCTCTGTTTTTGGCATGCAAATCGAACCATTTGCAGATCCAGTTCCTCTCAGTAACTTCTTTATTGTGGCTATTGTCGTGACATCATTTGCTTATTTGATGCGTATGACTATGCGCAGCCATTGGTTGATTGATCTCAAGGCAACCGTGAGACATGATGTCAGGGGATACGCAGCCAGGAATGGTCAACCTGTGCAACCTGGGACGCTTCCAATGCTATTGGTCTTTCGATCAATAGCAACGCGACTGGGCACCAGCATTGCCAGGACATGTAAATGGGCTGCGAAAAGGACCAGTTCAGCAGCAGAGAAGCTCTGGGCTTTGCTCGGCTTCATAATCAGCTTCGTTTTGTTGAACGGTGTCGCTTCGGGGATACCACTCGCTGTCCTCTGGACCTGCGAGCTTGATTCCAATATCCAGGATGCTGTCAGCATCGCCATTGTTCTCATTGTTATAGTCCTTGTGGGGGTCCCATTCTGGTTCAGATCCAAACCGAAGTTTCGGAACGCATTACCAGACTTTATCATGGATAGAGTGCGTCAAGCACCTTTGTGGGTTAGAATGACCTCGATATATTTGATCCTGACTGCAACATTTATTGTGGTGCCTTTGGCACTCGTCTGGACACGCCCACTAGCTACTGGTATCAAGACCGGGCTGACGGTGGGAGTTGTGATGGTTGTGATTCTAGTCATGCTAATTATCACCCTTTTGGGGACTTTGGGACGGAAGTCTTTCGATACCTTTGCACGACATACTTAATATTAAGCGGATCATTTTGGGTTTGCGCAGCCAGTAGACCTTTCAACGAGATATTTGAGCGGGAAAGAGCCCCAAGAAAAAAGAAAGTGCGATGAAATAGATTGAAGGTTATAACAATTCTAAATCTCACGTTTATCCTGGATCATATCAATGTAGCTATAGATGTTGACCATACTGCCCAACCCATAATGATTGACCAGTCGACGAGAGCACATTGGCTCACTAGTCTAGATAGGGTTAGTATAAGGCGTTGCTCAGCTCGAACTTAAATGCATGGGAATTGATGTCTTTTTCTTAATCCTTCTTTACCCCTCACCCCTACATCTTTGCCAAAGTCATGTCATTCGGTTCCAGAATTAAGCGAATAAGTAAGATCGTCTGTATTTGGAGTGGTTATATGTGCTGACGGACCTAGAGGAATTTCGTTTCCGGTTCGCTTATCATCAATATTTGATGCTCCTGTCAGCAATTGCAGTTATTTTGCTATGTGAGGGAAAGCAATCTATTCATCTCCTGGATCTGTCGATTAACATATATTCTCCCAGCCATCCTACTTGCGGGCTGTTCTTCTTCCAACAGCCTAAGCAATATATACTTATTGTCGCTAGAATACACATTGACAGAGTCTCCATTGTCTACAAGACCCGGACAAGTGAGCTCAGCCATTGCGCATGCCGTTCACAATATCTCGCAAACTGGCAAGGGAACGACACTTGAAGTGCGAGCGGGGTACATGGGGATATGTATGACGCAGAGCCATACAGGACGCATTTGCTCTAGCAACGTACAGGTGTTGGCAAATTTGATCCAGACTCAAAGGTCTATAGACAATGGGAATACAAGCACAGAAATTATACCCGACCCGCTCAATTTGATCATGATTGCGAATGAGTTCAGGGAGAAGATCGTATTCAATGGTCTGATGTAAGTCTTTCTCTCTGACCATTTCGATGCGCCAATATACTGATCGCTCCGATACTGATCGCTCCGATGTATAGATATATCGTGGTGGCATTGATGTTCATTTGTTCCCTACTCCTATCGACATTCCCTGGATGGCATCACGAAGTTGGTGATGACGGCTCTGTGTACGATGTGAAGCCACTCCCTGCTTCGATTATAGTGTCGGCTTGTTTACTCGCTGTGAGTGCCAGCTTTGGATTTGGTCTTATCTCCATACTATGGCAACACGTCAACAGCAGTGCTACGGCGACAATGACTGAAATCCTCAATTATGGCGCTGTCTCGGGCCATGTGGGAGGCGTAGCGATGGCACTGGGATGGCTCGCTATAGGACTGCTTGCGGTCGTCTGTATGGGGCTTTCCGTGGTGAAATTGCAATTGACTATCCTCCAGCCCATTGAAGAGGATTAGTCTAGTATATAGAGGTGAAGCCATCCAGCCTTTCCACCTGCTGTCTAACGGCATGATATTTGGGACATGCACACCTTCCTACCTAGCTACGAATTTTCCGCTATACATCCGAATGTACTGAGTTTCACCAAATTCCAAGTCAGCATTTTTTTTCCCCGCCCTATATTTGCAATTCGTCTCCGTTAGAAACCTGAGACCTTGCCTGTGATTGTCGACCTATGCACTGAATTAAAGTGTTGTGGGCTTTAGTCAAATAGATCTAATTGATTGGGTCATATGAGTTCCATGGGTACGCTACGCACACTAAGACCCGTGCACCTTATCCATACAGAGATCTATAAGTAGCTTAGCAGAGCCGCATGGACCCATTCACTCCAGCAGACATTCAACCAATCTTCGAACTGAATCATCCCTAGAAAGATGTTCGTGAATAAGCAGAACAATTGCCCTTGAAAAGCCATGTAGGAACCAACACTCATAGACTTCAGTCCATTTAACAAGAATGGCCGCCCAGTGGGCTAGTACGATAAGCGCGGCTGGATTTCGTAGTGAAACCATATGATTGAAGTGGTTCGTTGTCTTCTTCAACCATGCGCTTATACCTTGCCACGTCCCTGATAAATCACTCGCTGATGAATCATCGGACCCAAAGGCGCTACTACAGCATCCGAGCAAAGCTGCAATGCTGAGAAGAATAGCCGGGGCATCTTGATCATGATCTGGTTTCCCGAATATCTCGGCGATGCGATAAGGCAGCATCTGAAGACGGTTGAATAGCACAGTAAGTGCTGTGGTGGTACCTCGTGGGCTATCCATACCCAAAGATGTTTGAAGGTCATCGTCCTTACTCTGCTGGATTGCAAAAGAGTTCCCCAGTTCAGAAAAGTCTCGAACTTCGCATAGTAAAGATTGTAGCCGAGACAGGGCTGTGGTAGGACCCAGGACACTCTCTTGATTTGTAGTGAAGCCAGTCAAGGTCCATCGTGCACAGCTCATGATGCTCCTTATTTGAACCGCTGCCTTTTTCGTTTTCTGGAAAGTCTCGGTGGACACACTGTTTGAACTATTGTTCATCATCTCGTTGAACACGACGAAGAATTCGGAACGGAGCCTTGTCGCCCGCTCACAGTGCTTTTGCTGTGCTGTTGTCTCGTCCTCGAGCGTGGCTGAGTGGTACGCGGAAATGGTCAATAATCCGCACATCAGCCACCGTTGTCGCATAGCTAACGAAACGATGTATTTCCCCCAGTATTGTGACGCTGGTAGAGTACCTTCGATTTTAGGGAGAGTCAAACACGTCGTAAGGATGAAATGATGAAAGTAGGTCAATGTCTCTAAGTCAACCACAGGAGAAGACTCAGAAAGTGACATTGGCTGTGCTAATGACGGCACTTCGATCACATCAGAGTCCTTTCTGTCATGTCTACTCCCCTCATCGAAACTCTGTGACTCCGCAGCTCTACTTGCCACAGAGACCTCGAAATACTTGAGTTTCGTACCGCGAAAGAACGTCTGAAGCTTCACTGAGCGCGCACGAGAGGCAAAATCATTCGGCCCACTAACACTGTGAACATCGCTCCAGTGGCGACTCATGCGTTTAGAGCTTGCACAGAGATGTCCACACCCGGTCATGGTACAGGAATACCCAGGCACTATGGGTAGGGCATCAACCGGCCTTGTACTTGGACTGGGAAATAGAAGATCACCCGGTTCGACGATGTCGAGTTGATGGATGATGGACAGCAAACGAAGCCTTTCTTCGCGGTAAATTTTGTGGCGGAGCAAATGGCTCCCCAGTGCATTTTTCTGAATGGCGTAGTGGCAATCTCGGCAGATCAGCACTTTGTATTTCGCGTTATACTCGAGTAGGTCTCCTGGACCGAGCCGCATTTTGAATGGCAGCCCTTTTCCCAGGGTGGAGGCAGGAGTGGACGTTGGAAGAGTGTCAACTGTCGTGTAGATAACGCGGGGCCGAAAAGCGCTGCCGTGTGGGTATTCAGAGCTCGGCGTCCGCTTCTGTTGACTGAAACATTATGAGATATTGATCGTGTTGAATAATCTGTCAATTATTGGCGAATCGATAAGTCTCGTACGTATAGCAATGAATTATCACTACATGTAGACAGCTGTCTCCATGTACTAGTATCTGTCTGTCCTCTGTAAACACCAAAACTCAGCCCTGGATTCTTTCGAAAATGGGCTTTAGTGGCCTCGCCGCCTCGGGGCCCGCCCGGGCGTAACTTACCGCTGACATAATTCGGCATTAAGTCGGATTTAAGGGTGGAACGGCATATATGGTTCTCAATGGGAACGGTATATGCGGTTCTCTCTAACATTTTTTATATACTGCGTGTTAATATTTACTACCTACCTGCTTTGAAATAATAGAACAAATTTGAAATCAACTTGCTTATTTGGGCCTGAGATTGCCACAGTTCCTTGGCTTCCTCAGATATGCGAAAGTACTTATAGTTCAGCAGGTTCTGCCCAAAGTTGGTTTCTACGTCAACTATCGGCTCGAACCATACATCTTATAGGCATCCTTTCTTTGAAGGCAAATTTACCTCCCCTCATTCTTCCGTCGGAATGTCCACACCAAGGAACTTAGCTGCATGGCTCATCAAAGCTGGCTCTCCCCTACAGGTGGGAGATGCTCCGCTGCCCACAGCTGGCCCAGGAGAACTCGTCATTAAAAATGCGGCGATTGCTATCAACCCTCTCGACTGTCATATGCAAGACTCCGGCGTCTTTGTACAGCAATGGCCCTCCATCTTCGGCTGCGACATAGCCGGTGAGGTGCATGAAGTTGGAAAGGATGTTGAACGCTTCAGGAGAGGGAATCGTGCAATTGGGTATGTTACTTGACCGCATATTGAGATCAGACCATCCGGACCTAATCCTACCTCTCTTCATTAGACATGCTATCAATCTGACTAGTGGACGTTCTCAGGATGGCGCATTCGCTCTGTACACGGTAATTCCTGCAAAAAAGGCAGCCATACTCCCCGACGAAATATCTTTCACCGATGGTGTTGTTGTACCGTTTGCATTGGAGGCGGCTGTCTGCGTGCTTTCCCTCAAGGAGCCCGGTGTCGCCATGCCCGGTGTAGCTACACCGGCACTGGGCCTTCCATACCCCTCGCTGCAGGAGATGCCATCCTCCAGCAAGACACTCGTTATCTATGGTGGCTCGTCCTCCGTTGGCTCGATGACGACCCAACTGGCCACAGCGGCCGGACTTCGCGTCATCGCCATTGCTGGAGCACACAATTTCGAATTCAGCAAGCGGTGTGGTGCAGCTCAAGTATTTGATCGCAACGATATTTCCCTTGCCCACAAGGTTAGCGACGCAGTTCGAAAGGATAGTGGCGAGTTCGTTGGCATATTTGACGCTATAGCTACCCCCGAGACTTACGCTCATGACATCGCAATTCTTGATCAGCTGGGTGGAGGACACCTTGCTTGCGTGCATCCTCCTCCCCCTGCTACCGACCTTCCCGCGAATGTCAATGCCGGTATGATCTTTGCAGTCAACGATATTGCGACCCCTGTCTGGGAGGGATATGTTACGCCTGCGTTGCAGTCTGGAAAGCTTCAGTGTCTCCCACCCCCATTTGTGGTGGGTAACGGTTTAGAGAGTATTCAATCTGCGTTGGAAAAGTGCAAGGCGGGAATCAGTGCCCTGAAGCTGGTGGTGGAGCTGTAACTGCTGTGCTCCTCATTTCCATTCCTAGGTAGGAAATTTTGGCTCTTGATATGCTGGCCGAAACGTGTCTGGTATGGCTGCATCATGCACGAAAGAACAATTTAGCCCATTTCTTTCGGCCATATTTATGTCGATCTGTCGGATTTCATAGTTTAGTTTTCTCCACTCTCAATCTGATCTACTATTTATTACCTCCTTCGTGCAAATTCTAGTAATTGATTTCTACAATATCTTAATTTTATAAGGGTTATATAAAGTCCATTTTTGCAGCTTAAGCCTTTTTTGCCCCCCCCACCATCTGCCCAATAAACTAAGAAGGGGGAGAAAAAAATATCTATATGACTACCTAGATACCTAAAAAGACTACTGAAGGAGACTACTAAAAAGACATATAAAAAGACTATCGGAGAAGACTACCTGAGAAGACCGCCAGAGTACGGCCGTATAAGCGGCCGACTATTCTTGTCTATTATACCTCAATTTCTACAATATCTCATTCCTACAATATTAACTTCCATAGTGCCATTTTCTACACTATTAATTTCTATCAATTTCTATAGTCAATAAAATACACATATACTAATTTGATGCACTATTCTGCTGGCAAAATACGATATGGTGCACTGGCGGCTATACACTGCCGTACACTGCCGTGCTGATCTCACATTCGGCCATGCACCTCGACGTCTCCGTAGATCTCTCTGCATGATCCCTACTAGCAGTGCTTTAACAAATTTGTTCAAGCATAATGTGTATGTGTCTTAAACCAAAGTCAACAAATTCAATGCTCCTGTAATATCATCTTAAACTAGTTATTCATTCGGATTACCACGTTAAATATGGAGGCAATATAAGCACTATTTTGCATCTATATAAATGAACCCTCTATATATCTACAGAAACTCTTGTCAGGGAGTTGATATGACAATTGAAACAGAAACAATGACAACAACATCGGATACCGTTGGTTGACAACGTCTGAATGCAGCCCAGATTGAAATATATTCCTGCAATACAACATCATGCACACTTTATGCAGAGAAAATGCGGATGTGATGTCAAACTACATGGGCAGCGCTAATCTTACATTCGTGAGGTCTCAAAATAACCCCAGTTTCATGTGAAATACTAGAATTGACTGGGATTCTCAGCACATTATTCCATAGCGCTAGGAATCACTTAAAGAGGGCGGAGGCACGAGTCAGGCATTTGACATTTGCCCCTATGCCCCTTCGCAACGGTGAATCATAAAAGCAAATAGGACCCAAGTCCCCAGTGGTCCCTATGCACTGCCATAGATCCTAGCGGGATTTGCTTGAATCTGTCTAACGTGTTCCAAGACACGCAGGCTCGAAGCAAGCTGAGTGGCGTGATCGGCAGGGATGATCTGCTGTGGCTCCTACAAGGTTATTTCCTTGTTTATCTAAAGTTCGGACCGGGCCGAGGCGCAACACATGCTGCTGGTCTTCGAGTGGGGCACAGGAGGACTCGAAATGCATGTAACATAGAGTGCATTGCACAGTCGTAGATATGCAACAGGTGGCGGTTTGGGATATGGGTGCCGTATGACATCAACATCAATCTACCTACGCTCAGATAATTGGTGGTTATCGTGGGACGTGAGGTTGAGTAAACTGCATTGCAACCCCATTTCACGTCTAGGAAATGGTGGCAAACGAATTGCTCCTCTTTACTCACTGTAATACTCCACGGGTAACTACTGAACCGATGCGATGCATCAAGATCCCCTCACTTCAGCACCTCGACGCATTTTTTGCAGATGTGGTGTCACCATCCGTTACGCAATTTGGACAACCTCGGAACTGCTTATCCAGTTATGTTAAAGATCAGGAGAACACCTATGCAGTCCTTGAGCAAGCTCATCCGAGAAGGCGAGATATAAAGCTCAAGTCCGAACTGCTCCAGAATTATCGACCTTCGCCTTCACTGAAAAGAATATCACAAAGTCACGAAGCAAAAAACAGAAAAAAAAACCAGAAACGCACCTTTTTCCTATCAAAAAGGTTTCTCATGTCTGACGAACTTCAAGCAGCGTTTGACGAATTGGTCTTGGGGACTAGCGCTCTAGAGGCTTTCCCCTTTGATGACTTCGCCAACCGACTGCATAATAAAGTCCGAGCATGCATCGGGTCGGAAAACAACAGTGATGCAGTACAGAAATACATCGACAGGGCACCGAATTATCCCCCGGAAGATTCTGATGCCGACAGTTCTCGTCTTGACGGATTTGAGGCGTACGATCTTCTTTACCGGCTGTCGTTGCCGGCGGCGAGTGATGGAATTGCTAGTGTTGATAGCAGCCAGGACTCCGACAACTTGAGGAGATACGTCAGCGCAGTGAGTTTATCCTTAATTTACAGTTTATATTACATAGGATGGCTAATGGGCGTAGGAAAACTCAAAGCTTCGATATCTCGAGTCTTTGACAAATCTAATGAGCTTCTGTCTTGGGGAACATGTCGACTTTCAGCTCAGGTCTCAGGGTAAACGCAACTTGAATGAATTCTATCGCATAGAAGGATTCAAAGAGTACGTGGTGGAACAAATTGCCACCGACGAGTTCATCACCAATGAGGTACGAAGAGACATCCAGAGGGGTAACCATCTCTTCAGCATTGTGTGGCTCCTGCTCGCGGATTACTTCGAAAACAGGGACTTTGCTTTTTGCAATTCCCCGGCCTCAGGACCTGACTTTGAGAGTAAGGCGAGCCACACAATCCTCAGTCGATGGTCCTATACTCTGTGGGCTACCGAGGGCAAAGGAAACCCAGAAAAAATGGATGAAATCGTGGAATTTTGTGGGAAAGTGGCTACAATCAGCCTTTGTCCTCCAAATTTCACCACTGGTCTGCAGCGCCCGTCATCAGTCACAACAGTGATGAAGTCGTTCTATAGCCAGGTTATGAAAGCTCCCAAAGATGCTGCATACACCAAGGACTTGCAGGACAGCTTGGACCGACTTGAGGACAAAGAAGGGATCATCAACGAGTGGAAGTCTTACTGTGATAACCTTACCAGCAGCTGGGAGCTCCAAGTCAAACACTACTGGAAAACAGCCTTCTTCCGCCTCTTCCAAGATGGGCAGTCTCGTGAAGTTAAGTTTTGGATAGCTACCGGTAAGTTGCATCTGAGCCGGTGCTGCCTTTGTGGCTGTGAAATTATACGATTCTAACTGCCGATATAGCATCCGATGCCCAGTGGAATCTGTATTTGTGGGATAGTTACCTACCCGTGCTGGGTAATCCATATGACAAACGGAGTAGCAGAACCCCAGCTTGTCACATTCTTCCTGGCGCTCTAATCACGCTCTCCGATGGTAAATCGCGATTGGTAGAGGATGTCTCTCCCGCAGATCGAATCTTGACCCAAGCAAGTCCGAACAAGTCTGCTACAGCCGTTGGGTATCCTATTAACCAGCCAGTAAAAGCCAAATTGATCAGAATCAGTGAGTGTACTCATCCGAAACGCAAAGCACGGGAGATTTTCACTGACTCGAACATATCCAGACGGAGAGAGCCTCTCCTTCCCAAGCTCACAGGTCTTTCATACACCTACTGGGCTGCGGGCAGCAGATCCCGAAGCTGCGCAGGCGTGGAATCCATTCCAACGAATTGGTCAACTGGATGTGGGACATATCGTCTTCCGCCTGCAGGGAGACAAGTATGAGGCGGTGGAGATCAAAGCAATTGAGCAAACAAAAGACATCACCTTGGATCGTGTCTATACACTTGCATTGCCTGGAGATGAGCAAACACTTCATATCCATGGCTATCTGGTCAACACAAACGCTCCAGGCCACACTTTGAGACAAACCATAGATATGCTGCGCAAAGTTCCCGGCAGCAGGCGACTGGGCGTTTTGTCCCATTGCAAAGAGATGTGGCCAATGTTCAAGAAGTTTGACAGTCGATGCATCGACCAACGGCTGAACTGGGAGTTATTTGGCCAGTACAAGTCACCAGACGGAAAGAGTCCCAGGGCAAAGAGGTCAATCTCTTTCAGAGATCAACTCAAGACAGAGAAAGCGCTGTCTAGGCGAACGGGTATTGCAATCGAATCTGTTGCGAGAGGATTCTTTCTTACAGCCCACCATCCCAGCCGCCTGCCAGCTGGGTATGGACTTCCCACTCTGAGTCTAGTCGATGGTTATCTCTTGGTACAAGATGAAGTGCAGCTGCGGAGCACCTACGACTCCGAAGACAGAAGTTTCCGCTGGACGCGGGAGCTGAAGCAGCAAAATCTGTTCGAACACGGGTCGGTCCAGATTGACTCTGGAGTAATTTCAGGAAATGGGGTAATTCATTTGTCCTCAGAGTCAGCGGCTCAGCCTATGCCTGCCCGGGATCAGCTTCACCCATTTGTGGCGCATGCACAAAGCCTGGAGACACTGCATACCACTCAGCAGGCATCGGATGACACATGGAAACATCTAGGCACATATAATGTGACACTAGATCAAAGTCCCTGGCCTGCGGACACCGAGCGAACCGAACCAGTAAACCCAGTCGATGGGGGTACCTTTGAAGATGGTTATATAATCAGTTCAGGAAATGTGAAAACGCGCGCGTTGCGTTTGCCGCTGGTTGAACAGCTTCGAGACCAGATCAACCGAAAGTTTAGCCAGAGCTTGGGGACGTTCTACAAGGCCATCTCGCAGTTCAACCCTGATGGCTTGGAGACATTCAAGGTGGTCTTCAGCCGCGCGCCGTTGATTCCTTTTGTTTCTGACGCTGGTCTCGATCTGAGAAAGAAATTCCGGGTCGGGTTCCAGTCAGACTTGGATATTGATATGACTCTCCCAACGCTATTCCAACAGATGAATATCACATTTGACGTCAGGTACAAAACATTCACCGGCTATTTCTTTGAATACGACCCGATCAAGCGTGGATACAAGGGTGACCGGTAAGTTTTGATATTACGTGGATAATGATGAAGGGCGCTAAGGTGAACAACAGACATTTCATCACAGGCACTATGCAAACCTCATCTGCGACTGATAAAATTCGATCCAGGGTCTCCCAAGCCTACGCATCTATTTACAGGCCAGGTTTGACTGCGTCGTTGGATGAGAAGCTTCAGCCTGCGCTAGTCACCAAGAGCTTGCTAGCAGCCAAAGAGACAACTATTGATGACTTGATGCAGCTGGATGGCTACCAGGAAGCATCGGTAGGTGCCTGTATCCCGGATTTAAAAAGGAAGAAAGTCTAATTGAGTGGACAGCTACACAACGGCACGCAGCGATACATCCAACAGATGATGTACTACCACATGGACGATGAACAAAGGGAAAAGATCCTCCGGGAGCCAAAGCCCATTATCGGTCAAGATATCCCAGCAAGTCTAGCGGATAACCTACCGTCCAAGTTGAAGACCTTCTTCAAAGAGAAGTACGCCCCGGCCTTTATATGTCGCTACGTCGGTCGAACGCAAAAATACTCGGGTTCCTTCACAGACCAAGAAATCAAGAACCTCTGGTACTGGTGGGAAGGTAATGGCCCAAACAGTCTTTCTCACAGTGAAGAGTATAATGATATCAACCGACTGAGCTCACGAACGTCCATGTTGGAGAAATATGCAACTCAACTCGAACCATACTTGAATGACAACCCTGAGAAGTGGGCTAAAGATCTGCACACTGAGCTCATTGATAATAGGCATCTGATGGAAATCTGGATTGACCAGCCAATACAGAATGTGAGCGTACCCCATCTTTATCAAGGGCATAAGCTAATATGTTTGTGCTTGACTAGGGCAACAATGTCGTCAACAAGCAATGTAACATTCTGGATGCGCTGGACCCAGGCCAAGACTGGGCAAACCAGTTTTTCACCGAGTTCATGGCTGTGGCATTGGAAGAAGGCGGCTCAGCCGCAAATATTGATGACAGTGACCAGGACAGTCAATATAAATGGGTGTATGATTCCATGAGCGATCTCATACAGGCCATCCTCAACGGCGACAAGTGGGTTTCCGAGGATGTTCGCGCGGCATTGCTGCAGGACATTAATGACTTCGAAGTGGCAAACGGGTTGAATCAGCAAGCCGACGCAGAGCAAAGAGCTGCGGCTGTATTGGAGAAAAGTACAGTGTTTATGAGAGAACTGTGTACTTGGATGTCGTATATCGGCAAAGGCCTGCAGGCTGCTTTTGGAGGATCTGCGTTGTTCAAGTGGGCCGGGGAAGCCTTTGACAAGGTCTCTTCCAAGTTTCTTGACAAGCTTCCGGGTGTTGACAAGCTGAAAGGCCTTTCCAGCATATGCATGGTCAGTCATTTCTCACACACAGTGCGAGACGATCAAGCTGACATAACATATTTTCCTAGGCCGGGGTCAGTCTGGCCTCTGCCGCTGTGAGCTTATGGGGCTTAATTGAGAATTGGGACTCCATGTCCGATGCTGCGAAGGCAATAGTGATTATCGAAGTCATTGGGATGGTGACTGATGCAGCCGGCAAGGCGATTGATGCATTCAAATCCTTCACCTCCAAACCTGCCACGACGCCTGCAGACCAGATTAATATGGAGGCCCTCAATGAAAGTCTTTCGAGCGAGATTCGGGGTAGCAATGAGAAACTAGGAAATGTGGCCCAGGAAATCGCAGGAGACCAGGATTTCCGTGCGGCGATAGGCGAGGGCATCCACGGTGATGGAGTCCCCATAGAGGGTGGAGCCAACGAAAGCTGGGGGCAAGACGTTTCGAGTATCGCCGAGGACGTTCCTCCGGGATATGAAGACGCGGCCAAGAAGTTCAACATCTCGGGGAACCTACTGCGAATCCTCAATATCGCTCTTGGTGTTGGCCTAGTTGTAGCCCTGTCATTTTCGCTGGCTAATGACTGGAGTTCCTTGTCCGATACGGGCAAGGTCCTCAGCGTGCTGAACGTTATCGTCCAGGGCCTGACTGTTCTGCTGGACATTGTTGACTTCGCTGCTGAAACTGGGCTTCTCGCCGTCACTGGAACGATGAGTGTGGCTCTGCCAATTCTTGGGGCTGTCCTTGCAGTCATTGGGATAGTCCTGATGCTTGTTCAGCTGTTCATCAACCTGTTCGTTGCCAGACAACCTCCCCCCGACCCTATTCAGGATTTCATCGACGACGTTGGACATTCCCTGATCAGGACCTTTGATACGGCGCCCGACCCGCAGCTCACCTATTCCATTTCCAGTACCAATGTCAGTGAAAACAGTGTCACGACACTCAGGATCGAAGGATTGAATGAGACCCAGAGCGACGTTACACTGTCGCGCATAAACATCACTCTTTACTCCGGAGATGACGACGTCTGTCTATTCGGAAATGGCGAGGATTTCATCAAGCTGGTGCCTGATGACGATTCCAACCACGACACGAGCGGTTATACTTATGTCACTCCCCAAAAGGTCACGGCTGGCCAGTTGCCCACGCCGGCTAAACTAGGAACTACTTCTAATTACTACCAGTACAATCTCCAGGCAGCTGGTCCTCCGAAGAAAAATTCCACTACTCTCACAAGCCTGATACTCAAGCACGGCGAGAAGGTCAAATCGGTCTGGACAGCGGTGGTTAACAAAACTGGCGAGGACAAAGAAAAGTCAACCAGCTGGATTGAGGTTATTGAGGCTGGGTTGAAGGATAAGTCTCAGCATCAATTCAAAATTACCCGGGTTTGATCTTTTAATTTTCTTTTTGTCAAGCTGGGTCTAAGTCTAAGTCTATCAATGCACACTTAGAGTGATTCAGAATGAACACGTCTCGATCAAAACGGACTTCAGGTTTGATAGCTGGTCGACGCGATAATAGTCACGACTAGCCTATTAAGTTATTTTTCCTTGGTATCAACTTATAATTCTTGCTCTAGTCGTGTTGCGGGGCATATTATAGGTTCCTTAACATAGCTTACCACCAACTTGCGAGAAAATCCCAACGTCCCAAACTAGCCTTAACTGGGTAGGCACTTCACCAAAATAAAGCCTCTTAGTTCTATTATTGATTGAATCCCTCTTTTAACAGAGGACTAGAAATAAAATTAAAATAATACACAAAAGGGAACAGGAAAAGGGGAACAGGAGAAAGGGGCCCTTTTTTTTTGGAGGACGCCTTCTGAAAACGATGTCAGAGGGGCCAGCGGGAGGCCAGTGGAGTGTCCATACTTGTTATACTTAATTCGTCTATATAGTACACCCCTTACATATCCTTTTCAATAAATGAACTAGACAAACCACAATGTCATAATGTACATCACCATTTGTATGAATTAATTATATAGCGCCTAATAGTGTACTGCTGGCGACATTTCTAGTGACGCACTGGCGGTAATAGACTGACTGCCCTACTCCGTCCTACCCGAATGATTCTTTTAAAACTACCTGCGCCAATTTCTATCCCAATTGGGACGATAGCTCAGTTGGGAGAGCGTGCGACTGAAGTTCGCAAGGTCGCTGGTTCGATCCCGGCTCGTCCCATTGTTTTTGTTGTGTTTTTGGTCTTATTTTCAATATAAACCTTTCACAATAATAACCGTGCGTGACATGTGTGCGTGCGCACATATCGAACATGTATAGCTTTTTCCTGGGTGTTGAAGACTACTTCTTTGTCGTTAGCGCCATGTCACACTAGTGACCTTCAATAAGAGATTTCCAAATATTGCGGTAAAAAGCACTTAATGTAGAATTGCTACCATGTATTTATCATACATACTGATCTAAATAGAACATTGTGCCTTTCGAAGAATATAGGCGAGACTCGGAAACCCTTTAAGACAATGATAATAACCGCAGATAGAAGATAATCAGCCTTCTTTATGTAAAAATAAGTAGTTGAAAGTTCCGGACGGTCTATGATCCGCTTAGTTTAAAATCGGGTATCATACCACGGCTCCCCCTTACTTAGTTACATATAAGTAAGTATGCCGTTGATTCGAATCTGCACTTTCTTCACAGGTAAGCAGGGACTAGTGAATGACTGCCCGGGCTATCGAGCGCAGATCATCACAGTATCCATGATGTTACTGAATATTGTCGAATCTAGATGTTTTGCATGACGAGATCGGACGATCAAAACCTGCCCTACGTTGGTGACGACAGCCAGTCAGTTCGGGAAAGACTTCGAAGGACCATGAGAATGCAGCCTTTTTTGCCCGCAATACTATTAGGGATTTACGTGCTTTATATAATTCCGCGCCATCCGTGGACTATACACCAATTCTTTGTAGGGGTTATATATATATTGCATACGTAACCTGAGACTATCTTAATACTTGAATCCACAATATCTAGATAAACGATTGACTCCAACAATGAGATATATACGGGTGTATGTACTTTGTTTCTCTTCCCAGTAGCTGAATCCCTGACACTTGAATTATCTGTACTTCAACACTTTATACGGATATATCCGTTTATATTCTAGTTCATTGTATAAAATCAAAAGTGGTGTAAAAATTACATGTAGTTCTTTCTATAAGAGCCAATTCACAGTTTTTGTACCGAGTGGGTAATGGAAACCCGGCAGCGAGTCAGTCAATTTACCATGCGAAAATCATACGCCCACTGGCGGTGATAGACTGCAGTGGTACGGCAGTCTATGAACGGGAGTCTACGCAAAAACTAAGGCAAAAAAGACATGTCAAAAACAATGGGACGAGCCGGGATCGAACCAGCGACCTTGCGAACTTCAGTCGCACGCTCTCCCAACTGAGCTATCGTCCCATATGGGATGAAGGTTCAGGCGCCATGAAGACAAATGAACGAACAGACTCTACGTAGGATGGAGTACGCAAGTCAGCCGTAGTTGCCAATCGGACAAAAGTTTAATTGTTTAACATTTTTGGTACTTATGTGGCAGAATACTACCTATATAGCATGTACGAGGTACCATATAGAGCTGATTTAGTTTAATTCCTTATAGCAAGCACTCGCTCAGCCCAATCGAGGGTTATCGTTGTGGCCCCTGGGGTACTAGATAGAGTCTGGAGTATAACAATCCCATCATCCTACACAAGAGGAGTCTTACATTGTATGTATATGCCTACATATGTATGTATTCAAAAAAAAGCTGTCAAAGATAGAGGGCGATGACTATACCTATGTGTCCTCCTTCCTATCCATGTCGTAAGGATTTTTAATTTGAGCCAGCCAAAGCCATTTTGGCTTTTTTTCAGGGATTCAAATCTCTCTCGATAACTCTTAGCCTTTTTCTTGGGGTCGCCATTTGGCTCAAGGTCGAAGATTATGTCGGGAAGCTTAGGGTAATCGGCCAAGTCAGTGTGCGTTCAAAAAGCCCTGATGGATATTCCACAAGTTTGCGAAAGAAATCATATCAATTTCCTTGTCCACAGGCTCGAATTAGTGGCCTTTGCTCTCCCATCGCGATCACATTTGAGCCGAGGCTGAATGAGGCGAGCGGGTGAATGTATCGTCCACTCTGGTGTGTCGTAGTCTCTTTCGCGCCCGCATTCTATTTTCTGGTCACCTTGACCGGAATCTATACAGCGTACATGGACAGTCTCTGCATAGCCCTCAGGTCCTTGCCTGTGCGGCATAGGGGTGCCTTCCAATTTGCCTTGCGCCGCTTAGTCTGGGCAATGGCCCTCGTTTCCATACGGGTATAGTCTTGCACGCCGTGGTTAGCAGGGACGAGACCTGGCTTTCCCTTGCAGCCACTTTGCCCACAACCATTGCTACATTTCTGAGAACTTCGCACAACCTCGATCAGATAACAGTTTGGCAATTCCGCAACAAAGAAAGGGAACGCGTCGTCCAGAACGGGCCTCTGGCAACCCCTGCACTTTAGACGAATTAATTTGCCGGGCTCTCCCGTAATCACTTTGACTTGCTTGAAACCCGATTGAGTTCGGGTGGTCTTCCGGATGCACATGATTCCGACCATGCGGGCGAGATATTCAGTCGAGAATTGATTGAGGTGCGATGTGCGGCCTTTGTCAAGAAGAGAAAATGCCGATTCCAGTGTCTCTCGATTTGTCATTGGCACACCATGGACCTTAAGACCATCCTGGGACCGGAGCCGCTCTCGGAGTGGTCTCGGAATATCCCAAAATTCGAAAGTCTCAGACTCGATGTAATCATCGCTCTCGCTTTGAAAAGGATCCATGTCTTTGACAATTTTCTCAAAGGATGCAATGATAGAACGCAATTCGATGTTCCTTGCATTCAGGCGAAATATCTATTAATTGGTTAGACCAAAGCTTTGAACGCGGGTGAGCACTACTTACCTGTTCTCGTTCAGAAACGGGGCCATTCGGGTGTGCATGCATAGGCACTACACATTCAGAGGGGACACCTCTGAGTCCTTCGAATAATTCCTTCTCTTCTTTTCTACGAGATTACCTGAGCTCGAAATCTTTGGACCTTTTCGGAAATGCCGCCCGGAAGGCATCTAGAGCCTCTCGTAAATGGTCTTGCCTTTCCAAGTCCTGCTTGGCACTCAGCTGAGAATATTTGCCTCGGACAGAATAAATTTCAAAAAACTTGGGCTTGATCTTGATTTGGTGCTGCATCCCGGCAAGCTGGGTAGCCATCAAAATCGCCAAATCCTGTGGTCTCTCGTAAGTTTCAAAAATCTCAGAACTAGTCTTATCCAAACGTCTAGGCTTGGAGAAGAATTGAGGGTGATAGGCTTGAATGATGAACCTTTCTATAGAGCTTGAATTCGAAACACCAAGCTTGAGCTAAAGTCTTAACAGGCTTAAACATTCCCTACCTAGGAAAGCGAGCTAGACGAGAAGTCTTGTGTATCTCTTTGAAAACTTCTTCTCCAAAGCAGATTTCCACAGCCGTGGACATACTTTCCCGGACATTTTGAATGAACTCTCGGTGGGGCCGGCGTAGCTCCTCTGTAGGAAAAAAGACAATCATCGGTTCGTTCTCGGCGACAAATTCCATCCAACATGAAACAGTGGTCAGATGATAGACCACACTCATATAACAAACGAATTGTCGGATGCGTGCGGTCGTCGGTCACCGTACTCTGTGAATCTGCAACAAAAAAGGTCCGGTTGGAAAGGTGGATGGCAAGGGGCGACTTAATGGAGCCCCTGGGCTGTACGAAATGAGGTGACCGGTCTACCCCGAAACTCTTCCAAACCATAGTATCTTGCTTAACTAGCTCCTCAAAGGCAGTGCCAAAGTCCCACGTCTCTTTCACCTCTATATATACGTTAGTTGGTGGTTGAGGAGTGAGCCCATCGAGAAATAATAGCGCATACGAGTCTTGAGCGATGCATCAAAGGCCTTCAAGAGCGGTAGATATTGCGATATCTTATCAAGCTCTTCCCTGGCTGGGGTCTCGATTGAACAAATTCCCAAATAAGAGAAAATTCAGATGTGAACCCATGATAACGGGCGTTGCAAGGCTGTCTGGTCGGGAGCAAAGACCAAAAGATCCACGATAATACGCTAGAGAGGTCTCGGAGAAGATGCAGAAGAGAAGGACAGAAGGAGCACAAAGGCAAAGCCAGGAGAGGACGTGAGGCAAGAAGAGCAGAGAGTGAAAACCGGGAGCCATAAGAAAATATGCGAGAAAAAGAAGAAACTCAGGAAGCAGGCGAAGAAGAGCAGGAGGCATCAACTCCCCTTGGAAGTAACGCCAAATATGCGCCGCAGCTTTAAATCATGGTAACCGAAATCAGTTCAAGCCATGTGTCGTGCAAGTTAACAACTACATAAAATAGCATAGCCCGAGATACGGTTGCATTTTTAGGTGATTCAGGATTCACTGCTATCAGTGAGATGGCAATGGCAATCTCGAATCCCCGGACCCAATTTCATGGCCAGCAAGTAGTCGAAGAGAAAGTCCGTTAGCATTAAAACTATTATATAGCTACACTAACAAAACTTTCTGTTGAACGTGAATAGAAATGGGAATGACACTGAAGATATAGATTGGGGTATATAATCCCGAGGTCGCATATCAGAAATCGAGTCATCACTACATTAAATCGTCTTCAACAAAAAGTATGAGCGATACCTAAACAAAGAGTAGGTCCCTTTCTTCACCATTCAATTCCGTAAACGAAGACGCACTACCGGTCTAGTTGTACGGCTCAGGAGAAAACACCTTCTTGAGACGGAATCGTGACAAGTCTCGAATAACCTGTGCAGTCTGCTTCAAATTCCGCTTAACAATAACAGCAGTAGGAAGCGAGAAAAGCTCATCGATCTCCTCGAGGGTTTTGTTCTTAGTCTCCGGCATGAAGATAATCTGGTAAACCCAGCCGAGGATGGCAATGCCACCGTAGAAACCAAGCGTCAGACCAATCCGCTGCATAGACTCCATCATGCGCGTGAAGTTGTACGTAACGATGAATGAGCACAGGAACAAGTTAGCGTCGGCTGTCGTCATTCCATACGAACGCAGGTACGTAGGGAAGACCTCGGAAGGCACGACCCACGTTAAGCAAGCATACGAGCCGAAAAAACCCATGTACAGCACAATACCGGTGAGGTAAACGCCCTGAGCAGCGGCGGGGTATTTATCAGCATCGATAGTGTAGCCAACACCGACGAGCACGAGACCAATAAAGAAACCTGGTAACATCACGTTCGCCCAGTACCGACGACCAACTCGCTCCATGTATAGCACGGCCGGGATGGCGCCGATCAGCAGCGCTCCACCGCCGACAAGAGACATGAAGACGGCGTCCTTGTTGCCGAAGCCGATTGCCTGCATCAGAGTTGACATGTAGTACATTACTGCGTTGACGCCCGTGAACTGTCCGAGGAAGATCATGATGTTTGCGTAGACCATCGCGCGGCGTGCACGAGGCACAGTGAAGAAGTCCATCCAGGGGTACTTCTTCGACTGAGCTTGCTCCTGACTCTCCGCGGTGACGGCTTGTCGCATGCTGAGGAACTCATCTTTGGCTTCGAGGTTGTTGAACCCGCGGATCTTCTTCCATACTTCGTACGCTTCAATTTCGCGTCCCTTATGCATCAGGAATCGGGGACTCTCTGGCAGGAAGAGCATGCCCACGAAGAGGATTGTCGAGAAGACCAGTGAAGAGCCTAGGATGTAACGCCAGTTTCCTTCGACGCTGACGAACATAGCGGCAACGGCATAGCCAAGGACTTCGCCCAGGGCGATGTTTAGTTGGTACAGGGAGACGAGGTTACCGCGAAGTCGGCGGGGGACTATTGAACATTGGGGTTAGGATTGGGTATATAGGTAGATTGGGCGTGATGGAATACATACCACACTCTGCAACATAGACTGGGACGGTACCACCCTCCAAACCGACACCAGCGCCAAGGATGAATCGGCCAGCGAAGATCATTCCGAAGTTGATGGCGCCAGCCTCCAGGGCGGCGCCGATGGTGTACAGAATGCAGGAGACGATGATGGCCATACGACGACCGAGATACTCGTTCGCTGGAGCAAGGAGAAGAGCACCGGCAACGGCTCCGAGCGGCATGCCGGCGTTGACTAGACTGTTGTCTGCTGAAGACAGGCCCAGGTCAATGGGGAGGTAGAGGTTTGCGCCACTGATAAGCGACTGGTCAAGTCCAGACAGCATACCTCCCATGGACGCGAAAGCGACGAGGATGTAGGTAAAGGTACCAGGATTGGACAAAGTTAATTCGAAGCGGGATTTGGGGAGACTGTGCACCTGTTCTTCGAGCTGCTGCAGTTCCGCATCCATGACGGCTTCGTTCATCCCATTTTGGAGCTTTTGGTCCGCCAAGTCATCCATCTCGAAGGCGACGGTATCCTTGTCTTCGCTGTGCGTGTTTTTGGGCGCCTCGACTTCTTTGAGGTCGGCCATGATGAGTGAGACCTCCTTCTCAGAAGATAGTTTGTTGGGTCTACTAGATGGTATGAACTATAACAGTGGAGTGGACTGTCACTATAGGCCCTGCTGTGGCAGTTACCGTAATTTATAGAGAATGGAGAGAAAATATGGAACAACAATGACACTAGCTGGTAGAGTCAAGGGGGGAAAAGACTATTTGAGGCCGTCCGGATGACCACGGCGACGGTTGATATTACGCATGACAAAGGCTCCGTGTGGGGGTTGGCAAAGAGCAAAGTGAAAAAAAGGCCCGGGAATGTGCTATGCTGTAGGGATTGGCCGAGCCGTGTATGCTCAATCTATGCTCAGTCTGGAGTATGCACTCCGTGCTTTCCCATGTGTGGAGAGAAGTGGAGAATCAGGACCAGTCCGGGGAGATCAGGTTGAGGAGAAGGGAAAGAAGGAAAACGCGGCTTCACCGGGAGGGCAAAACAAGACTAAACCTGGAATATGCAGTGCATAGCAGTTGTACAGCAGTTGTACAACAGGGATTGGAATGTGGAGAGACAGGGAATTCAAGCCATCGGGACTGTGGACGAATTGTATGCCATCAAAGCTTATGTCGACCATTCCAGCCCCCGGGGGGGGGGGGGGGGGGGGGCC